GAAATGGATTAATTGTGACTCTTCCCTGGGCTCTGATGAGAGTCATAGCCTATGTATTTGTGAGTTAGTGAGCTGTCAACTCTCTTACGGTCATCATGAGAAGCAAGTCATCTTGAGTGAGTGGAGGTGTTAGGGGACTCCCCCTGCTCCCACTCCCACTCCCAGACTTCCATGGCCCTTGATGGTCTGGGAAAGACCAAAGAGCTGTTTCATGGGAGTCAGACAGTCAACACTGGGGATCATTCCTTTCTGGCCCCTGCTAGGTGGGATTACTGGTTCAGCGGGTACTACTTATTGAATTGTACTGCTCCTCAGGCCAAGAGAGTGGGAAAGGAGAAGAGAGAGTTGCTGGCTGAGTGGGGGCATGGCTGCCTGCTGCTACCCACTGCTATCTGTGTGACAGTGGCAGATGGGATTGTGTTCGTGGACATGAGCCATGTTTCTGCTGTAAGAGAGACGTGGTGATTTCCTACTGATGCTAATGTGTCGTAGAAGCATCTTCACTAAGCAGGCTCGAGTTGGTATGGGCGATCCAAACCTGTCTTTACCTGTAACTATGTCCTCTGTGTTGACACCTGGATATGTAGCTCAAGCAGTAGAAAGGATTATGGGAATTCAATTGAGTTCATCTTTGCACTTTGGGGGGAAATAAAAGAGACCTCCTTTCCCTTGGTTTAAGTGTGAAAATGTGGCGACACTTATGTTCCTTCAAAGTTTGTGTGTTCCTGGGAAAATTACTGGATCAATCTGTATCTCAGTTTCCTCATCTGTAAAATGAGGGCAATAAAAAGACCCACTTCATAAGACCATCATGAGGGTTACTGGAGATAATACACACAAGCATTCAGCACAGTGATCTAGGCACACAACACATGTTCCAGAAATATCTGCTTAGAATATTTTATACCAGCTACTAAGCAGCACTTCTACTTATAGACAGTCTCAGCTGAAGATCTAGTCCTAGCCAGGGTTTCAAACTGATCCTTCCAAGCTTAGTCGTGGCCTAGGAAGCGAAACCAGAATGGACCTAAATTTGTAAACTGTAGGTGAACTAGAATGATAACTAGTTTGGGAAAACTTACGAGTCAGAAAACTTACGAGAAACTTAATCTTCTTAGAAAACAAGGACAGCATGTAGGGTGCACAGCAACCAAAGCTCTTGGTTGGCAGAGTGAGAAACAACAGTACCCTGC